TCGCGCCTCCTCGCGCCGCGTCCTCCTCCTCCTCCTCCTCCTCCCCCTCCTCCTCCTACTCCTCCTCCTCATCCTCCTCCTCTTCCTCTCCTGCTCCTCCTCTCTCCTCCTCCTCCCTGCATCCTCCCCTCCTCCTCCTCCTCCCTCATCCTCCTCCTCCTCCTCCGCCTCCTCCAATTCATCCATCCTCCTCCTCCTCCCCTCCTCCTCCTCCTCCTCCTGCTCCTCCCCCTCTCATCCTCCTCCTCCTCCTCCTCCTCCCCTCCTTTCCTCCCTTCCTCTCCTCCTCCTCCTCCTCCTCCTCCCTCCTCCCCCTCACTCCTCCTTACCCCTCCTCCTCTCCTCCTCATCCACCTCCTCCCCCTCCCCCCCTCATCCTCCTCCTCCTCATCCTCAATTTCCTCCTCCTCCCTTCCTCCTCCTACCTCCTCATCCTCCTCCGCCTCCGCCTCCGCCTCTCCTCCTCCTCCCTACCTCCTCCTCCTCTCCTCCCTCCTCCTGCCTGCTCCTCCTCCTCCTCCTTCTCATCCTCCTCCTCCTCCTCCTCCTCCTCCTCTCCTCCTCCCTTCCTCCTACTCCTCCTCCTCTCCTCCTCCTCTCTCATCCCCTCCCTTCTCATCCTCCTCCTCCTCCATATCGTCGTCGTCGTCGTCATCCGCTCCTCCTGCTCCTCCTACTCCTCCTCCTCCTTCCTACTTCCTCCATATCGTCCTCCTCCTTCTTCTCCCTTCTCCTCCTCCATCCTCCTCCTCCTCCTCCTCCTGCCTTTCGTCGTCATCGTTCGTCATCCGCTCACTCCTACTCTCCTCATTCCTCCAAACTCTCCTCCATCTTCCTCCTCTCCTCCTCCTACTCCTCCCTCCTCTCTTCCTCCTCCTCCTCCTCCTCCTACTCCTCCTCCTCACCTCCCTTTCTCCTCCTCCTCATATCGTGCTCTCCTCCTCCTCCTTCTCCTCCTCCTCCTCCTTCTCCTCTCCTCCTGCTCCTCCTCCTCTAGTTTCTCCTCCTGTTCCTCCCCCTCCTCCTCTTCTTCCTCCTCCTCCTCCTCCTCCCTCCTCCTCCTCCTCCTCCTCCTCCTCCCCTTCTCCTCCTACTCCCACTCGTCCTCCTCCCCATTCTCCTCCTCCTTCTCCTCCCCCTTCTCCTCCAGTGTGGGAGTTTCTTGTGTCCCTGGGGAACCCACCGAAAACCCTCCAGAACCAACACAAAACACTGTTGATTTGTCGGGGGGTCCCCTCCTGGATCCCTGGAGGGAGAGCTTGGTAAAACAAACAACTATTTCAAAAAAACTCCCCCCCCCCCCCCCACAACCCCCGCCCCCCAAAAAAACAGCAACAAAGAACCGACCCCCCCACCGCGCCGGGTTTTTTCGGGGGGTTCTCTTTCGGGGGATTCCCGGGAGCAGCCGGGCAAAAGCCTCCAAATCGCAATTCGGGATGACCCCCCCTGTCTGGACGCCCGAAATGGGTACGGAAAAAATGGGTACAATGCCCAACAACAAATGCTGTCCCGAACCAACAGCGGCCGCTGTTGAGCAGGCCGCCTTCTGTCTCAAATGGGCACAGGCCGCGGCGGCGCGGACAGCGAGTCCTGTTCAAAATGGACGGGAAATGCTGTTTGGTATTGTACCCATCCTTTCCGTACCCATGCCGGCCGTCCCGACCCAGGAACCCTCCACTGGGTTATGGTTATATGTTGTTGTGTCTGGCTCGTTTACGTTCCGTTGTTTTCAATTTTTCCGAGGGGTGTAGCCCCCGAACAAAAACCCAACTCGGCGGATTTTTTTTTATTTTCGTCAGAGGGGCCCAGGGCCCCATAATCAAAACAGTGTTATTTCTGAAGCCCTGAAACTCCTCAAAAAACCTTCGGGAAACAAACACATCATACCAGAATCCATCAAACAGACTCGATACCAAAAGTAAGCGGGCGGCGAGAAACAAAAAACCTGAAGCAGTAACTGACGCATCAACAAAAACAGCGGCGAGGCAAAAGCACGAATGCAAATCAGCTGGAATTCCCCATAAGAGTTGGCGGCGAATCGTCTTATGACCAATGCGGAATCATTATGGCGGGCTGCGTTTTGCAATCATCCTGGTCCTGCTTCTTCCACACCTTCCAGAAGGTGCGGAAGATGCTAGGGTTTTGATTGTGTCTTCGGATGTCTTCGGATGTCTGTTGTATGATTAGGATATGATGGTGATGATGATGATGAGAAGGAGGAGGATGGCGATCACGATTGCGATGCCCATGTTGCGATTATGATGTCGGTGCTCGCAATGTTGGTGGCCATGACCATGCTAGTGGTGATGATGGCCATTACCATCATGATCAAGCTGCTAACGAGAATGACGACGATGGAGACGCGATCCTCGATCCTCGATCCTCCTCGATCCCGATCCTCGATCCTCGATCCTCGGCCCTCGATCGCCGATCCTCGATCCTCGATCCCCGATCCTCGATCCATCTCCTCGATCCTCGATCTTCGATCCTCGATCCTCGATCCTCGATCCTCGATCCTCGATCCTCGATCTTCGATCCTCGATCCTCGATCCTCGATCCTCCTCGGTCCCGTTTCTCGATCCTCGATCCTCCACCTCCTCCTCCTCCTCCTCGATGTAATTGTAAAAAACGAATATTCGCACAACAAATCATGGAAACTGCGCCATCGCACAAGATCTCCGTGGTTCATGGAAAAGCGTATGCCAAACCCGCATCCACATGAAACAACGTTGCCAAACCCACATTGCTACGGAGAGCGTCAAATTCGGGCCCAAGCTTCGCTACAATAAAATAAAGCATATAGATTGCTCTGAATTGTCTACCAAACGGCGTTGAAATCCAGAACTTTCCACACAACAGAACCGCATTTCTATTAAGCTTCCTGTCATATTTCCGAACTTTTCAAAAGTAATGGAATATTCCAAGACAATCCCGCTTGGACCGAAATTGTCAGCGTGTGCACGCGTCCGTGGATGTCTGACGTTGTCTGTGAATGTCTTGAAATGCCTTGAAATGTCTTGAAATGTCTTGATATGTCTTGATATGCCTTGAACTGTTTTTGCTTTGTCTATGTTGTGTCTTTGCGTGCCTTTGTTTGTCTCTGTTTGTCTGCGAGTGTATGTGAATGTCTTGGAATGGTTTCGAATGTCTTGGAATATCTTGAGATGACGTGAGACGTCTTGAGCATTTATTTGAAATGTCTTGAGCTGTCTTGAAATGTTTTCAATGCCTTCAAATGTCTTGAAATGTCTAGAGATGTCTTGAGGTGTCTTGAACCTGTCTTTAACATGTCTTAGTTGTCGGCCCGAAGAGGCAGACATGTCTTAGTTTGCCAGCCCGACAAGTGAACCATGTCTTAGTCTCTGGGCCGAGAAGTCAGACATGTCTGAGTTTTCGGCCCGAAAATGAGAAATGTCTTTGTCTTCGGCCCGAGAATTCAGATATGTTTTAAATTTTCCGGGCCGAAAACGCAGACATGTCATAATTTTCGGCCCGGCAAGCTAGACACTTCTTAGTTGCCGGCCCGACAAGTCAGACATGTCCTGGTTTTCGCCCCGAGAACTTAAGACATGTATGAGTTTTCGGGCCGAAAAGTAAGACATGTATTACTTTGTCTTAGTTCTCGGGCCGAAAGCCAGGACATGTTTTAATTCTCGGCCCGAAAACTTAAGACGTGTCTTAATTTTCAGACATGTCGTTACTTTTCTGTCCAACCATTGACACATGGCTGAGATTTCGGGCCGAACGTTAAGACGTGTCTCAGTTGCTGGTTCGACAAAACTAAGCAATTTTCTAGATCCGTTAGAACATAGCCCCATGTGTCACTGTATGTATCGGACCCGAAAACTAAGCTGTGCCTTCGCGTGCATACTCTGGGCGACAAGTGCGATGTGTCTGAGCTTTAGAGCAGACATTGTGCACGGCCAGAACGTGAAGACATGGGGAGAAGGTGGGGATTGGGATCGAGGAGGATCGAAGATGGGGATCGAGGATGGGATCGAGGGCGGGATCGAGGATGGGGATTGGGATCGTGGAGGATGAGGATGGGGATTGGGATAAGGATGTTAATGCGATTGCCGATGATGACGACGACGGCGATGATGATGATGCTGCTGTTGATGAGGATGGCGATGATGGTGGTGATGATGATGAAGGTGCTGACAATGGCGATGATGATGGTGATGATGATGTTGATGATGATGATGGCGATGATGGTGGCGATGCTGACAACGATGAGGATGACGATGGTGATGATGATGCTGATCGTGCTGCTGATGCTGATGATGATGCCGAGGGGGCTGATGATGGAATGATGATGCAAATGACGATGATGAGGATGACGATGATGGCAATATTGATGCTGAGGAGGAATAGGACGAGGAGGATGATTATGGCTTCGGTCTCAAAGCACAGAGAGGGAAGCGAGGACATTTTCAAAGTCGCTTTTAAGTAGGTTCAAAGAAGGTTAACACGCTACCAGCAAACAAGCTTAAATCGCTGGACCACGTCATATGGAGTAGGACGCCCTCGAAAACCGCGTCACTTATGAGGTGTGCCGCCTACGGGGGCCATCTGCCACGTAGCTCATGGCGCGCGCGCCCGCACCTGGCTCCAGGAACGAATGCGCCGCGCCCCGCGCGCCGCGGGCAAGGCCGGGAAAGCGGCGGGCAGCGTGAAGCCGCGCCCTCAGTGCGGGGTGCACGCTTGCGGTCGTTAGCACGCTCGGGCATCTTGGGCTCCACGACTGTGCGTCGCCCGCGCGCCGCCAGGACTGCGCGCCCCTCGAGGCGGGGCGGGGCGGGGGCAAGGGTCTGCGCAACGAGGTGCACCCAGATGCTCGCCCCCGCGATTTCGCGGCCTGCCCACCTCCCTGCGCCCTTCGGCGAGGGCGGGCGCGGGCGGGGGCCCACACGGTGATGGTAATGCGAATGAGCATGAGAAAAGGTGAAGATGATGATGCTGATGACGATGATTTTTCTGTTTCCCTCCTCCAGCGCAGCCGGGGCCTCAGTCCGAGGGAAGCCGCTCCTGTCGAAGCCGCTCCTGTCAAAGCCGCTCTCGTCGTAGCCGTCCTTGTCGTAACCGTTCAGGTCGTAGCCGTTCCTGTCCAAGCCGGTCGCGGTGTCGTAGCCGTCCTTGTGTTGGCCGTTTCGCAGGTCGCCGGGCCTGTCCCAGCCTTGCCTCGAGTAGCCGCTCTTGTCGAAGCCGTTCGTGTCGTAGCCGCTCCTGTCGAAGCCGTCTCGGTCGAAGCCGCGCTTGTTGAAGCCGTCGGGGCCGCGCCAGAAGGGGTCGGGGTTGTAGTTCGAGTCGAAGCCGTTGGAGTCAAATCCTCTGGAGTTGTAGCCGTGCCTGTTGTAGCCGAGCTGGTCGAAGCCGTAGCGGTCGTAGCCGTCCTCGTCGTAGCCGTCCCTGTGGTAGCGGTTTCTGTCGTAGCCGTCCCAAGTATAGCCATCCTCGCCGTAGCCGCCCTTGTCGTAGCCGTACAATTTGAAGCCCTTGGAGTCGAAGCCGCGCTTGTTGAAGCCGAGCTTGTCGAAACCGTCCTTGTCGAAGCCGTGGCTGTCGTAGCCGTGGCAGTCGAAGCCGCGCCTGTTGTAGCCGCTGGAGTCAAGGCCGTCTTTGTTGTAGCCCCTGGAGTCGTAGCCGTGCTCGTTGTAGCCGCTGTGGTCAAAGCCGCCGGCGTCGTAGCCGCTCTTGTCGTAGCCGCGAGAGTCGTAGCCGTCCTGGTCGTAGCCGCTCCTGTCGAAGCCGTGCAGGTTGAAACCGCTCGTGTTGTAGCCGTCCTTGTCGTAGCCAAGCCTGTCGAAGCCGCGCAAGTTGTAGCCGCTGCAGTCGTAGCCGTTCTGGTCAAAGCCGTGGGAGTCGTAGCCGCTCCTGTCGTAGCCGTTGTGGTCGTAGCCGTCCCTGTCGTAGCCGTCCCTGTCGTAGCCGTTGTGGTCGACGCCGTCCTTGTCGTAGCCGTTGTGGTCGCAGCCGCCCCTGTCGCAGCCGTTTCTGTCGTAGCCGTGGTGGTCGAAGCCTTCCTTGTCGTACCCGTCCCTGTCGTAACCGCTCTTGTCGAATTCGTCCGCGTCAAAGCCGGAAGGAAAGGCCGCCTCGAAGGGCAGCGGCCCGCAGCCTGGCCAGAAGTCTTCAACTGCAGAGATCAAGGGCTCTGGCAATCTGTAGTTCACATAATGATTAGTCCATGGAAGATGCAATTCTGGAAAAGCAGGAATCGACGGCAACGCTGACAACTTTGGCAGTGCCAGTGGCGAAGCATCTCTCGAAGAAGAGTGCCGCCGAGGCACCTTTGCAGGGGGGCCAGAGAAACCCGTCGCGGAAGCCGAGGGAACAGCAGCCTCCGAACTTCCCGCGGCATCAGGTACAGGCCGCGGTCCACGCCCACGCCTTCGCGAAGAAAGGTCAGCATCATCACCACCATCTGAATCATCGCTGTCGCCAGGCCCTGGGCCACCAGGGGCAGAATGAGCACGCCGAAGGTGGAGAGGCCGAACATTAAAGCTGATGTGAGAGGATCCCGAAGAGTGACGATGGCCATGGTCGACAACCACATAAGAATCAACATGATATATTGTATCCCAGACTACCTGCATAGCGAGCTCGTTCAGGGCAGTAAGATGGCCAGGAACCCGCTGGTGAAGGACGATGTGCATGTTCATCCCACTTACAGAAGACGTCACGGCCACGCGAGCGGGTCGCCCAGATTGCAACTGCTCATAAACCCACCACAATCGAGAAACCACCACCATGCGCGAGCGTCGAGAGGCAGCAGCAGCAACAGCAGCCGCTGCAGGTGCAGCGGAAGAGGCCCGTGACCCCAGCAAATGCTAGAGCCCAATGGCTAGTATGATGATGACGATGATGATGATGATGATGATGATGCTGATGATGATGGTGGTGGCTATAGTGGTTATGCTTAGCAAGGTGGTGATGGCGATGATGGTGAAAACGGGGAAGGATGATTGTGATTATATCCTAGAGTGTCTTGGTATATCGTTGGATATCTTGGATGTTGTGGAATGTATTATGATGTCTTTGAACATCGTCAGACTTCTAAACACCTTACCAAAACCAATGGAATTCTCAAACAACCCAGAACACTCTGCATTGAATTTAATGCAAGAGGTGGTCAAAGCTGAGGGCGGAAGGTCTGGCATAACCAGTGCCAGGGTATTTAATAAACTACAACGAATATAAAAAACATTCAGAATTCAAATAAACATCCAGATAAAATAAGCACGTCATATATTACGGAAAAAACGGGCGGCAAGCCAAAACAAAACAAAACATTCATATTGGTTCGCGTACTCGCAAGCGCTCCGAAACGCGCGCGTTGCACTCGCAAGCGCCCCCGAACGCATAGGCGCTCCCAAGCGCCTCCTGGCGTTCCCAGGTGCTCGCCTGCGCTTCTGGGCGCCTCCGCCCAGCACCTGCAAGCGCTCCCAAGCGCGGGCGTAAGCGCTCCCAGGCGCTCCCAGGCGCCCCCTGGCGTTCCCAGGCGTTCGCATGCGCTCCCGGGCGACCTCGCCCCCAGCATTCGCAAGCACTCGCAAGCGCTCGTAAGCGCGCGCAGGCGCTCTCGGGCGCTCCCATGCGCTCTGAGGCGTCCGCGGGCGCTCCCAGGCGCCGGAATTCGCAAAGTCATACGAACAAAAACAAGCGAGGGGAACAGACAACAAAATGGCGGCGGGCTCGCCGGCCAAAATCAGTTCAAAATGACGGCGGCGGGGGAAGGGGCACCCAGTCAGTACTGCAGTGAGCACCGCAGAAACCGTAGTGATACAAAAACCATCGTTTGTTGCTGTTATGCTTAACTTTTGGTTCGGCAGACTCCGGAGCCCCACACTTGCAAATCACACCACTTCCGACCCTTCCCTGGTAAACTCGCCGAAAGCCTTCGGAAAGCAAAAGCCAACGACGGCTTTTTTTACTTTGTTTTTTTCGGGGTCTCTCCAGCCACGCCCAGGCTGCAGGGGGAACAACCCATGCAATACCCTCCAACTCGGAGCTGAATCGGGTGATTTTCGGAGGGCTTCGGGGCCTTAGCAATTAAAAGTAAAACTGTACCTTTTGAAAAACAGAAAAAATACAATACTGGTTATTGTTCGAAAGGTTTCAATGGGCAATGGGTTCTCTGGCCCCCCCAGGCCCCAGGAAGGAAAACTCTCGAAGAACCCCCAGCTCAGGATTTTTCTTTGGCGTTTTTCGGCGGGGCCTGGCGCCCCACAGTTAGAAACAATAGTACTTCTGACATACAAAACACATATATATACACACAAACTTTTGATTATCTTAAACAAAAAACTGGAAACGTCAATTCGGATTGTTCCACTTGTTTCTCGGGGGTTCTCCGGCCACCTCAGGCCTCCGGCCTCAGGCGCCAGGAGGGAACACACCAGAAAAAACACCAACTCGTTTTTACATGTTTTTTTGTCGGCGGGTTCTGGGACCCCACAAGTAAAGACCAAACTATGCCTGACAACTCATCAAAAAACCATCCGACAAATCCCCCCGAAACAAACAAACTCCGTTTTGCTCCGACGTTTTTTCACTGGGCTTCTCCGGCCACCAGGGGGAAAACCAAAGAAAACCCTCCAACCCAAAGGTTTTTCATTATTTTTTCGGGAGGCCCGCGGCCCCACACTTAGAAACAACATTATTCTCTTGCACAGGGTGTCTAGAGCTCCGACCACTTTATTCCGCGTCGCACCCCCCCTCGCGTCCCCAGCGCCAGAGTGGGACCCCCGCGCCGTGGCTCTCTGCCCCGAGCCCCCCCCCGTCCCCAGCGCCCCAGCGGGAGCCGCGCCCACTGCCCCGTCCGCCACGAACGCTTTATTCCGGGTCCCCCCCCCCGCGTCCCCAGCGCCAGAATGAGACCCCCGCGCCGTGACTCTCTGCCCCGAGCCCCCCCCCGTCCCCAGCGCCCCAGGGGGGGCCCCGCCCACTGCCCCCTCCGTCACGAACGCTTTATTCCGCGTCACAC